AAAGAGTGCCAAGAGTTCTATAGTATTCACTTTAGCATCTAAATACTATGATTATTACTTTGCAAGTAAACTGCAGAGCCTTAGGTGGGAGCTGAGCAAACTGCATGAATCACACGTGTACTTTTAAGATTGTCAAATGTAAAAGTGTGAAGTCCATATTTAGTTGCTTAAAAAACAAATGTGAAAACTGCCAAGCTCCCAGAAGCTTTTTTTGAAAGCCAGAAGTTTTGAATACTGATTTGGGAGTGTAAATGCAGGATTTCCAAAGGAGGTTTAGAGGTGTTTGCAACCAGCTCCCAATAATGTTTAATCAGAGTTGAGTGCCTAAGGCACTTTGAAAATCACAGCCTCCTGAACATAACTCTGGGGCCCTCCTTTGAAAAATCTGTGTTTTTCAGGGATGGAGAGGGAATGGGTATATTTGCCTTCATGTGCACGTGTAGATGAGCAAAAGACGACATCAAAGATCATGAATGCCAGGTCCAAAACAAACAAGAGGCAGTGGTTCTTCATGCACTTTGCCCAAGGATGTTGTGGATGCTACAAAACCGTTTTGGGGTTCAAGGGGAGACTGGACAAATTCAGAGAAAAGAAGTCTATCAAAGGTTACTAAATAAAGAGAAACCATGTCTAGCTCAGAAAGTCCCTAAGCCAAAAATAGTTGGAGGCTGGTGATGTCTTAGGGTTGAAGTATCGTATGTAATTGCCCTTCTCTAACTCTACCCTGGACAGCTGACAGAGACACGGAGTATCTGCAATAAGCTGGGAACAATTTACTGTATGAAATAAAGGGAAGGATCTTCACCCATGACCCTATGCCTTGTTGGCAGAAGCCAGCCAAATTCATACTCCAGCATTGGGGAATGTAGCTTTGGTGGTGCAGGAGCACCTCTCCACCTGTTATGTCCCAACAGAGGAGCAAGTCACACACAATCTTGACTAGAGAACCAGTGCTTCAAATAGATTTTCAAAAACAGCCAAGCAGAAAGTCTGGTTTGTTTCAGAAGGGGATAAAAAAAAAAAGCAGCAAACCATAAAACATGATGTGATTGAAACTCTCCCAAAAGGAAATAAACAACCCAAAACCTAAAAATGGCAGGAACTCTTGTCATGTTGCCTGTCTTTTGCAGTCTTGTTATACCCAGTATTTAAGGTTTGTTTCTAGGCCAACCAGTCCTTCTTACTGGCAGTGCCTGAGTGATCACACACATTCTTGTAGGGTGTGGATTTTTTTTTTTTTAAACCCGCAATTTTAGGAAACCTTTCAAGAATGTTTTACACAGTGATATCAGAGAATCAATTATTCAGGCTGTTTTTAGGTAGATTTTCCCTCCCCCATTTCCTTGGTTATTAAAGAAAACAGTGAAATTTGGATCAGACATTCAGCTATCCAGTCCAAAATACATTCTTTTTTATTTTAACTGCACTGCATCGAGTTGACGTATGACGTGACACGATGTAACGTAACATAAAACAACGTTACTCTGTATAACACATTAGAAATTAAAAATAAATATTTCCTTTGGATCCCATTGGTACTATCAATTTTACTTGCACATCTCTAAATTATGTTTGTTCCTCTCATGTCTTGCCTCTTAGCCACTTGCTTAGGTGAAGAACCAGCCTCCCCTTCCTTGTACGTTAGTTAATAACATGTATAACGTGTCCACATTCTTGGCCTCTAGAAACACAGACAAAAAACAGTTCTCTCTCTTGTAATCTTCGCTGATGCTTGGGCTTGATATTTGGTTGATAGCTTCCTTATTTTCATAAAAGTTGTCATTATGTTTAAAGAAAAATTAAAGCCTGAAAAAAATGAAATAGAATCTGAGCAGGTAATAAAGTTTATCTTAATATTCATCATGTGGATAATTACGTGAGTACATAAGGAAATCAGAAAGGTGTTAGTATGATTTAGTAATGGTAAAGTCAGATGGTCTCCATATAAAATCTATGGATTTTTTCCCCATTGATAAAAATTATGTTGGTGATTAAAAAATATGTGGTTCCTGCCAGTACATAGAGAATCAATTAATCTTTTTATGACTTTGGAAAACAGTTATTGATATCCTCATTGGTATCAATGAGGAAAATGAGACTCACAGAAGTGCACATTTTAAAAAGCACTCTCATATCTAGGTGTCTTGATTTTGAGGCTCTGCTTAAAGTCCATTCTGCCTGAGTTCCAGAGGTGTTGATCAAATGTGGTTCATTTTGACTTCTAATGGAGCTGTCAACATGGTGTCCTTGAGAAATCAAAGCTTTGAGTCCCTCGTTGCCAGACATAGTAAAGAGGCATGATAATGATGCCAAGCCTGGTTACTGGCTTAGCTAAAGAAGCGTGCTTGTGGCAAGTTAGGGGTAAAGTACAAATGTCCCAGGTACCAGCTCTGTGGTGGCACTGTCCCATGCGGTGAGGGAGACTGAGGTTAGACTTTAGGAAGACCTTACTCACAGTAAGGACAGCCCAGCGCTGCAACAGGTTGCCGGAGGTGACTGTGGTGTTGCTGGTACTGCTGCTCTTTAAAAGCAGGTTAGATAAATGTATGTCAGGAATAATGTAGGTACAGATGATTCTGCATTACAGCTGGTGAAGGAAAAGGTAATGTCTCTCCCTTTGCCCCCATTTTCTGTGTCTCCCTGTAGGTATCCTTGAATGCTCTTTAACTACAGCTAGAAAAACTCTAGAAATGTTGTAGCTGCTTTAGCATAGCACTCTGCCTAGGCTGAAAAACCCTCCTAAAAAAGGTATATTGCTTAGTCAGAGCTGCATTGCACTTGACTGAAGGAATTCCCTGCCTCTTCTCCATAACATCCATGTCTCCTTCTTTTTTGTAGACTTGAATTTGCCTTTTTTTAACTGCCTTTTCAGGCGAGCCATTATTAGTTGGATAATTTTTTTTTTCCAGTGAGTAAATTGTATTCCTTGTTACTCTCCCCTCCTTTGTTGGTTTTTTTTTTTTTTTTTTTTAATTTTTTTTTTTTTAACTGATGCTGTTCGCAGCTCTCTGATTGCTTCTTTTTTGTTACTGCACCAAGCTCTCCCCCTAAAACAGGCATCATCTTTCAAAAGCAGCCTCAGCCCATGGGTATCCAGCTGGCAGTAGCAGCGTGCATTTCTCTGCCTTGAGATTCCTTCTTCCAGGAACAGCAGCAATGAGATGTGGTTAGGACCTATTGTTATACCAGAAGGCTGCAATGCAAATAAATTTGTTGCTCTCTTTGATTGTGAGGCAATTCTATCAATTGCTGGGTAGCTGCAGGGTAACTCAGCATCATTGCCATGAGTGTGGAAATGTTCTGCTTTTGAACTGCGGCTTCTCCGACCAGTGTATGGCTGCAAATGTCAATAAGAAATCTTCCTCCATTTATAATGATGCAAACGATCGGTAGATATACCATGCCCTTAGCCAGTCATTGCATCATGTTAGTCACGTACTACCAGCTTTTAGTTGGTAGCATGATAACAACAACTACTACAAGTTGGTTGTGTATAAACAATAGCTTTTAACACTGAATAAAGATGCTGGTTCTACAGATAATTTGGGAAAAAAAACATAAACATACCTAGTTTATAAAAGTACAATATTTATAAGCATGCCTATGTAAAATATGGACTGAACCAGGTCTTGCTAAAGTGGTCTGATGGCTTTTAATTTCAGGGGATCACCCTTGCCTAACTGGGGACATTAAAATTAGCCTCAAAGATATACATGTGATGTTTTGAATTCTGCTTCTGTTGGTGGATTAGGCTTTGCTCCCACAGTGCAACTTAAAGGTGGGAGCTCATCCCAGGGGAATTTAACTGTCTGAGAGGAATGCCTGTAGGCTTCGACACTTGTTTGCGATCCCAGAGCTGGCAGCAGAGAGACAGGCTCCTCCCGAGAGTAATTCCCTACATATAAAAAGAGGTGTCTAAAACTGGTGAGAGGAAAGACTTTCTAGTCGTATCTGTTTCTCCCTGTCAGTGAGAGGAAGACTGGATGAATTGCTTAGACTAGACATTTGATGTTTGGAAAGCTGAAGCTAGGTGGGAAGGCTCCCACCACACATCTCCAGAGACATGTGAGCTCTGCAAGCCCAGGGCTCTGCCTGCTCTAATATCATGAGCGGGGTTTGTATTTTCTGGAAATGAAATAGTTTGAAAACTTTCACAGGCATTGCGATAACCTAAACCATTCAGATGGTACATTATGTTTAAGGGACAAACATATAGGTTGGAAGATATGTCTTTGGTTTCTAACTACAGGTTAGCCTTCCTATGCTGCCCTGAGGATCAATTGTCCTTTGGTTCCCACCTGCTTTGGGAAAGACTTCTGCTAAAGCCATGAAGCTTCTGTTTTTCAAAAATATATATTCCTAGTGGGCGTCAGCTAAATCAGCCAAATCTGCCCTCTAGGGCAGGTAGATTAGGTGAGAACAGCATCCTCTAAGTTCTTATCAACTGCTTTTTTCAAACTCTGATTGATCCTGATATGGCGCTTTTGTTTCTCACTCACCTGCAGAGCCTGGAGTTTGCACTGTATTTGGAGACCCTCACTACAACACTTTTGACGGACGGACATTTAACTTTCAGGGAACATGTCAGTACGTTTTGACGAAAGACTGCTCCTCCTCTGCCTCACCCTTTCAGGTGCTGGTAAAAAACGATGCCCGTCGGACCCGTTCTTTCTCCTGGACAAAGTCAGTGGACCTTGTGTTGGGCAGAAGCACTGTCAGCCTCCAGCAGCACCTCACAGTGAAGTGGAATGGGACCCGCATCTCACTACCTTGCAAGACACCGCAATTTCAGATCGATTTGGATGGTTATTTGCTGAAAGTGACAACCAAAGCAGGTAGGGCAAGTGTGTGTGTGTGTGTCTTCTCCCTGAAGAACTTCTTAAGTGCTGCATGAACACCAGTCAGAAAAAAGCATGATAGTAGCAGTAAATGTAGTTATAACTCTTTAGAGATCTGAGGAACCCAAAGTGCTCTCAAAATCCCGGCAGCCCACAAGCAGAGACCCTAGCTATGAGTTTGAAGTCCTTGCAGAACATTTGCTAAGCTATGTTTCATTCTGCAGCTGACGATTAACCACCTGCAGAGTTGAAGTGATTTTCACTTCCAGTAACTTAAAGAGTGGCTTATGCAGGGTCATCGTTTGATACTTACAGATAAGAACAGAGAGGAAATCAGTTCTTAAACATAACGTTCAGGTTTTTTCCCAGTTGCAGCAACATACCTTACAGTTTAAGTCCACAATTATGTGAAATCATAGGTACTAATGGCCGGAATGACTTTAAGTTGTCAAATTATGGAAACATTTCACTGGGGCTTCCCAGCAAAGTGGAGGTCCTGGTTTGAAAACCAAGGTTTAATTTGCCGTTCAGTACCATCTTGTTGGGCTTGCGTTGTGCTTGAGTAAGAGTTTGTCCGTGAGGAACAGAGAGTCCACAGCACCAGAAGCAAAAGGAATCAGAAACTTCAGAGAATCTGGTAACTTATTTGTAGAAACAGGGAAGGGAGATAGCAGACTTCCAGGTCTTTTGAATCCTAGAAAATACATTGTCAAAATACTAAACCAGAGGACTTACATTTGTTTTGATAAACTATTCTGAAACTATAGTATCCTTGCATAGATAAATACTGAGGAGAAGTTTAAAACTTTCTCATTAGCATGTGTTAGGTACTACTGTAGTCCCGAGAGATTTCGCTTACACAGTGCAGTACTGTTTCAGTGAGAATACTATTTACTGTATATTCAATTAAATGCCATGTGAAAGCAGTGAAACCAATCTTTCTTATGGAGTGATATGGTCACAGGCGTGACGCATAGTCATACTCATTATCTAGCATCATTTTTTTCAAGGGGGACAGTAGCACCCACTGTTGAGCTGTGAATTTAGACACCTGTTCATATAGCCCCTGGAAATGTAAGTCTGCATAATGTGGATCCCAGCTCTGGGCTCATTCCTCAAAGTGGCAATGCAGATTTTTGTGGCTGTCTGTAAAATGCACACAAGTTGACCATTATTCACAACTTCTAATTAAAAGCATCTTGAGGGTTTCTTTTTGCAGCCAGCTGAACGCTGTGAATTCTGGCGATGTGGATTTCATTAGCCAACCACAGGCCAAGGAAAGGTTTTCAATCGAAGACGAATGACAGCTAATCCTCCTGCTATTCCATTTGTCTCTGGTGAAAGCCTAAGCAATGACTACACATATCGTTGTCCATGTGTTGGCAGAGGGAGTGCAAACATGGCATATGACAACGTACCAAACAATGTGTAATCACTGCAAATTATAGCCTAAATAATTCCTCCCCTTAACAGAGCAGGATCAGGTTTCTCTTGTTGAACGCAGCATGATGGGCCAAGTCCTCCTTTCCTCAGCATGTAAGGGCTGGAAAACAGGAGAACAGCATGGCTCCATTTTGCTGGGAGAGGACAAGCAAGAGACAGGCTCTACAGAGAGGCTGTAGAAAGGAGGAATGTGCTCAGTAGAACTGGTTTAAAGACAAACCTTTTGCTCCACAGGAAATTCTGAGTGCTGGCAGAAAAAAATCGGAGAATTTTCTCTGTTTCAGAATGAAATATGGATTTTTTTTTTTTTTTTTTTTAAATAATTTCCTAGTGCAGGGTGAGAAAAGAGGGAGAGGGAGGAAATAATGAAAAATAAGCAAAACCACTGCACTGGAAGCAAAATTCAAAGTAAAATTGGGCTGGGAAGTGCAGGGCTCGGTGCTTATAGCTCAGCCAGCATTCCCACGGCTTTTGGTTTTCCTTTTGCAAAGCTGGGAGCTGAGCCCTGGATAAAACAGGGGAGCCCAAACCTTCAGGAAGCCTTGTGGTCCCTGGCTACAGGGCAATCTGCATGGCAGGGCTGTCCTGGAGTTACGTACCCTGAGAGTCCAAGCTTCCAGGCAGCCCACCAGGCGAGTTGGCAGAAAACCAGCTTGGAGCCTTGCCTGTGCTGTGTTGGAAGTTCATTGAATCCGATACGTCTCCCTGAAGCATTTCAGTTCTGATGAATTTGCATTTTCCAGTGAAAACCTGTTTTGTTGCTAAGTTCCTCACCAGCTGTAGCCCTGGGTGCCATGCAGCAGCAATTCCGGCACCCTGAGCTTGCAGGTACTTCGTCATGGCTGTGGTTGGGATGGTGTTGAGTCCTTGTCTAAAATTCGTGTGTTAAAAAGAAGAGAAAGCAGAGGGTCACAGGGCCAGTGTTACTTATCTCTCCCTCTAGTGCATGAGCATTTTTTTTGTTCTTGTTGTTTCTGTGCTGATCTTTTGCACGAAGCTGTTTGCTGAGGTTTTCTATACCTCTTTGACACTAAATCTTTAGGGAAGAGTGGTCTGCCAGTTCTCGAGGATGCCTTTACCATGAAAAATCATGCAGAACAATTGATGGGAGTTCTCAGTGTGTGATGTGCATAAATCCAGAAGGATTTTTTTTTTTTTTTTAAAATGCAGTAGAGCACATAGTGTGTCAAGTTGAGAAATCAAGTAAGAAGTTGGTTAAACATCCTTCAAAGAAAGGGGAAAAATGAAAAACCCTAAAAAGTAACTCAGAGAATATTCCTTTTCTGCACATCCCCAGATGGGACAGATGCTGCATCCTTTGGCTTCACATCTCTTGGATTCTGATCCTTGTCCAAGTGAATGGGAAACTCATCCGTTCTGGTGGGGAAGGAAAGGGGGGTACAGGCACCAAGAAACTCTTCCAAACAACTTCTGCCTGCCAAGGGGACCATTTCAAACATCGCTCCATAGCATAATCCCGTCTGCCACAGCTCCTTTTGGTTTACAGAAGCCAAATGAATTTTCTGCTTGTGAACAAACAAAAAGGCACACACTGCACAGTGTGATCAGGTTCCAACAAAATTATCATGCATGTAGGAGTAAATACCCTTCCTCATTACCCCAAAAAGGAATAAGCTCTGTTATGGACAGAAACTTTAGGCTGTTCATCAAAGCTAGAAATTACCCTTCTGTCTGAGCAATTACAGCAGAATATAGTGTAGTTAAACAATACCCGGCTAGAGGAAAGTACATCCTTTTGTGGTAGTTAAACTGAGTCTCTTGAATCAAATCCAATAATCAAAGCAGGACTTTCTAGATTTGAAAATATGCTTTTTTATGTGCTGAGATGAAAAGTCAAAATTTTATGTTATTCTTGTCTGCGTACCTAGGGTTCACAGAGCAACACGTAACAAGTAGATTAACTTAACTCTCACAAAGGACACACAAATATTCAGGATAATTTTTGAGTTAACCTTTTGTAATGAACATGAGTGGTTTCACTGAAAATCAGTAAGCCTTGGCTTGAGAAAAAAGTTGTAAAAGGAAAATGAAGATAGGATCATTAGCCAGTCTTTTGTGACTCAAAGTCAGCAGCTTCTGAGGGAGTTTGTTTGGGGAAGAAGTTGAACACCGCCTTAAAAACTGTAGTTATTTTCTGAAGAGAGAACTGTCAGAATTTGGATCTTGATGCTTCAAGCTTTGAGAAAGTTTATATGATTCTCAAGTCTGAAGAAATGTTAGTTTATAAGTTAATGGCAAGGTTTTTCTAAATGCCAGCACGGCAGTATTAATCTGATGTCTGCAAATCAAGCTGTGTTTTGTTTTGTTCAGTGTTGTCAGAAGCAAAGACAGCTGGAATTTGAATTTGTCCAGCAATGATAATGTATGAAGCAGCTTAAAAGGCAGCTTTCCCCTCTTGCCACTGTGCTGGCCTCATTAACAATTGTAGTCTTGCACAATTTCCCAGTTGGCTGGGTGTAAAGTGCCTTTGGAGGAGGACACAGTGGCCCTATCCGTGCTGGGTTTATTAGATAATTTGAAACTGCTTTCAGGCATACTCAGCTTGGGACATATTTGTGCTGTTATTGCTAACCTATAGCGATAAGAAAACATGATGCAATTGACTGTAGTGACCAGTGATGCAGAATTATCTGCACAATTATCTTGCTGGGTAAATTGTTCCCCAAACACTTGGTGGCACAGTGTAAACCACACAAGCCCCAGGACAGTAGATACGGATGGCAAAGCACCCTTTCTAGAGGCATAATTGCCGTTTGAGCCTCACCCTGTTTCTCTGCAGCGTGGGTAGGAATTGTCACAGGAGACAATGGGATGTGTTGCTGAAGGAAGGGTTCCAGCTTTGAGCTGAGTCACTGGTATGTTAATTACTTACACAAGGATAGGGCAGGATTTGGATCACGTCGTGACAAGCACGATTTACAAGAGGAAAGGGTGGTGCTAAGCCAGCCCACACGGCAAAAGTAGAAAGCTAGAGCAAAGCCCTGGTCCTGCACCGTGGAGTGATGCTGTTTGGTATTCTCGGCCAGGCAGGGTGAAGAGGGTAAAATCTGGATTGTCCCATTTAAAAACAGGTTCCTGTGTTTATCCTTAACTTACCGCTGCACACAGGTACTTTATGGGAATAAATTAATGTCAGCAAAACTATTTGTGATCTTCAGGTGCAGGGTTATTGGAGAGATGTGAAGTAGTAGCATTCATCAGACATTGGAAATAATTGAGAGAGGCCATTTTTGGGTAGAAGTTAGGCAGCAGTGATTCTTGGTGTTGTTTTTATCCCATATCATACCAAAATTACTTTCCCTTATGAGGTACCTATTTACTCCTCAAAGGATGGAATTCATTTAATTTACAATCACCCAAATAAAAACTAGAAGTTTAGTCTCCTTGACCTCTGGGCCCTCCAGACTATCACTGGAAACAGCAAGGCATTCAGAAGGTAGTTTATTCCCTCTCTGTTAGACACTCGTGTTGTGACCCAGAGCTGCCTATTTCTTTCCATCAAAGAGACGGCCCAGACAGCTGACTTAAGCGAGACACCTGGCTTTTAGATGGGTACAGACAGATGAAATGGATTTCACCCACAGAAAGCAATTCTGATTTTGGTGTACTAGAAGTGCAAAACTTTACTGTAAAACAGATTGTAACAGAGCACTTATATCTCAGCCACCAGATGAGGGTTAGATGTTTACCATCATTCTTCCGTGCTGCTGCCTTATGAAGACAACTTCAAAAGGGTGATAATTAACACCTTTTGAATGAAGACTTTGAGTCCAGTTCAGAATGCCTTCATACAACAGTTTTACCTATGTGACATGTCTTTGTAATCATCTTTTTAACTCTCTTTACCCGCACAAAATCAGATATTTGTATTGGAACAGTTATATTCACCCAACGAGTGATCAGTGTCAGCTTTGTAGGCAAGAAAAGGATGTTTTCCATAAGGTGATCACTGGTGGAGTCTCATAGGGGATGGACACACGCCAATGACCTGTGCAACAGGTGACAATGGCTGAAATTCTGGGCCCTTTGCGAAATCAGCTAGAAGTTTGCCCTAGTAAATTCAATTTGCAGAATTTTGCAAGAGACCTCTTTCAATGTTGAAAGTAGTTCTACCTTGGCTCTGGATTTTTTAGGATAACCCCATTCATGAGCAAGGAGGAACAAAAATAAACAGATAGGCATAAGTGTATTTTAATTGCCTGTGATTTAAGAAACACTACACTTGCCAGAGGCACTTACTGGGAAGTATATAGAAATCTAACATTATCACAAAGAAGCCAATGGCTTTGTTTAGGTTCCCGTAAACACTGTTTCACAAACATAAGGCACAGTTTGTTATCTTCAATTTCTGCTTCTCTTTCTTTTTTGTGTGTGTGTGCGTGTTTTTGTCTCATCTCTTTATTAGGCTTGGAAATCTCATGGGATGGAGACAGTTTTGTGGAAGTCATGGCTGCGCCACATCTGAAAGGCAAACTCTGCGGTCTGTGTGGCAATTACAACGGGCACAAGCGAGATGACCTGATTGGGGGAGATGGGAATTTTAAGTTTGATGTGGATGACTTTGCCGAATCCTGGCGCGTAGAGTCCAACGAGTTCTGCAGCCGCCCGCAGAGAAAACCTGTGCCCGAGCTCTGTCATGGGACAGTCAGGGTGAAACTCCGAGCTCACCGGGAATGCCAGAAACTCAAAGCATGGGAGTTTCAGAGCTGTCATTCAACGGTGGATTATACCACGTTTTACCGGTAAGTGTGGCTTGCTGCGGAGGGAGATAGTAACTTACTATGCGATGAGAAAAAGTACAGAGTTGGCCCAATTTCAGTAGCGTTTGAGCACATGCTTTGCGCTGCTTTTGCTAAGAATTAATATACAGGCTTAGAGTTACATTATGATGAGATTTTCTGAGTCAGGAATCAGAAGAAGATGGTCCTGAGCTAATAAAGACCTGAGCAGCCAACAGTGAGAAAGGCAGGCAGGCAGGCTTGTGATCACCTAGAGGAAAAAGTACTTTTGGAGACTGAGGAGAGAGGGGCAAGAGATTTCAAAACATTTTGGTAAGCTGTTTTTGATTTCAAAGTCAACTGTAAAGTTGAGGCTGACTTTAACTGCTGTTACTTGTGGTCCAGAGAAGTGCGTCTTCCCCGAAGCATTTTGAAAATGACTTTATTAAAGCAAGAATATTAAATATTACTAGTGTCTCTTGGATGGTGTAGTTTGTGGGTAGAGAGTTTGAAAGCAGAGAGTTAACAAAAAGCTCAGTGTATGCCCATGCTGCCCTGGGAGCAAAGGAAGACAGATGAGGATCTAGAGGCCTTGTCTGAATGAATTATTTAAAATTTTTTTTATTTTTAAAATGCTTCCAGTCTAAACCACAGAGACATCATTTCTGTTCCTTAATTGACACGAGTTTATTTGCCCCTCACTTAGTAAATAAAATTGGCTTTTCTTTTGATTGCCTGACATAAAAGATAAAAGCAAGCCAAGTCACAGTTGTACGATGGCGGATGGAACTGCCTGATCTCTGCGCTCCCAGCTTTCCCCACTTGCGCACATCTGCTGAACTATTGGTCTTATTAGGAAAAGCTTTCTAAAATGACTCCAGTTCCCTTATGAATTGCCTTTACTCTTCTTTTATAATGAGACAGAAAGACTTTTATCTACCCCAGCAGAATATGTCTGGGACTGGGAAATGCTTGAAGACACACAGCTTGGCTTGTAGTCTACGCGCTTCTGCATTTAGTTTGCTATAGTGTGTTCCTGTGCTAGGAGCCTGGCAACGAGTGCAGATTATATTGTGTGCAGGTTATAATACTTTATCTTTTCCAAGGACTAGAGGCACAGCAGAGAGCACTAGAGATGCAAACACACACACACACACAGAGGGTCTGTTGAATGCGTTTCAGCAACATTTCCATCTCACTCCCATCGTCCCCTAAAGGTAAGTGATGACAATGCAAATGGAAAACAGGCACAGAGAGATTTGTTTCATTTTGCAGTGGATTTTTTGTCCCTTTTTTAAAGTAGCTCATGATTAATTTAGTGCAATACACTTCCTGACACCACAGCGGAAAATGATTTATATTTTGGCTACAGCAGCCAGAAAAAAAAATCTCTACATGCTTACACACAAGAATTAATGTAGAGCATTTCTGTTTCTTTAAAATGAGGTCTTCTATTTGTCCTGGAAAGACAATGAAATCAAACAAGTATTTAATTTGATTATTTCCTTTTGTAGAAAAGTCTATTTTTCCCTAAGGAAATTTTATGTCGAAATGACCATCACGTTCTGTCAGAAGGAGCTGTTCGTTTGCTTCCATTTAGATGTTGCTAGCTGTTCGACTGCTCAGCTCCCAATACAGAAATCAAAGATAAAAGTTAAAATACAAATTACAATTAAATAATGGTATTTAGTAGAATGCTACTTCTTGTTAGAAACTGACAAAGTTGTAGCAAGAAATTTATTCAATGACCATGGCTATTTTTCATGCTAGGAAATTCCCGCAAGGAGGTAATGATTATGGAACACACGTTCAAGAAAGTTGTGGGAACCTTTCTAACAAACCTTTGCACATATAAATATGTGTGTATGTGTATAAGTATAAATATGAGTACTTAAGAGATTAGCATTTTTCATGACTTTTTTCAAAGAACCCATTGCTGGTTTTTGTTTTGCAGAAATTTTAAATTACCTTTAAAAGAAATTTAAGTTAACATTTACAGCTTTTTACTGAGGTCTTTTAGAAAAGCATGGTCAGTCAGTGTTTTCTAATTTCAGGCTAGTTTTAACCAAAATTTTTCCAATTCTGCTTTTCTAACTATGAACAAGCTCCTAGCAGTAAGAGAAGTGAAGAGGCAGAATGGTAGGGTCAGGTTCTTTCATTTTTCTGTTCATCTCCTGTTTGAATTGAATAGCTTCTTAGTTTTTACCCTCCAACATGACATACTATCAATTTTTTCCATTTGAAATACTGCATTCTCAGGAGTTAACCTTCCTTGGTCATTCCTCCCTGTATTATCAACATTGCCTCATCTTCACTATACTGCTCTGGTAGTGACCTGCTGTTAATAAGAATTCTCAGAAACAGAAATAAACTCAGCAGTTTACATTACGAATTAGGGTGTGTTTTCTCCAAATACCAAAAAAGGCAGCGAACAATGCATTGCAAACATTTGTCTGACATGGTGTTACTGAGGAGATTTCTATGAAGACGTCTCAAATTCATTTTAAGTCTCATTCTTTTTACAGCTGTAGTTTCTCCTTTTGTTAGCCATCCAAAAAACATATACAGCAAGATTGTCATGATTGTTAGGTAAAAAAGGGTATGGTTAATGTTTTAAAGAGTGGAGGTCTAGCTGCATGGTTGAGGAGGGGTGAAGAACAGCTAACTCCTGAGCTTGACCTTGATAGATCTGTGACACCTTAGGAGAAATGGTTGTGCACCTTGCCCTTAGCCCTTTTTTTGATGTTGTGACTTTGGTGACTTGTGTTTCTCTGCAAAGTGCATGGTAGAAGAGAGCACAATATTAACACACAAGAAAGGATTTTTAAATAGTCCAGACTGCAAAAGAACAATTTTAGCATCTAATTTTATACCACTCTTTTAATTCTTTGTTTTGTAGCTACACATGTTTTATGGGCTTTTAATTGTGGTTTGTTTTCTTTAGTTTTGGGTTGGTATTTTTTGTTTGTTTTTAATGCATTGCTGGTTGTTCAGTACTCATGAGTAATACTCTAAAAATAACCCTTAGGGTTGAACTTTATGGAGGCAAGTTCATTAAGCAGGGAAACAGTTTTGAATTTCCAGGAGATATGGGTAAAGTCTGAGTGAAGAAGAGATTAGCAGTGACAGTCATCACCATTGCACTTATCTATTTTGATATTTTAGTATGACTAAGTATCCTGGATTGGTCCTTGCTGAAAAAAGAAGTTACCAAGGTTACTGAGCAGCAGGTTTTTAGAGGGGATACTTTGACCATGTATGCAATAAAGCTTGCACTCAGATTCCTGAAGCTGCTCTTGAGTATAAGCAGTGCTAAAAATAGGTGATACCATCTGAATTTCTCATGCTGCTGTTACCAGAAAAAGTTCTATCACATTATCAAGAAATGTTAGGGTACTATTTAAGCTCTTGGATGATGATCTGGGGAGCTTGGGGGACTTGAGGAAGGAGAAGAGGACTTTCTGTGCTCCCCAAGACCTACCCCATGGCTGATCTCATTCTGTATCTTTGAGCTGTGCTGGAGCAGGTGCCTGGAGGTGACTCCGGCCCCAGTGACGCCAGGGAGCAACATGGCGTGGGGGGGCAGGTCCCCGATGTGCCCCCATGCCTGCTTTGCTTGGCCATGGCTGATGCCTCTCGGGAGCCTCCTTGGAAAGCACAGGAGGAGGCAGCCCCAACCAGGGGTGTGGGGACCGCAGCGAGAGGGGCACAGTGATGTTGCTTGTTACAGGGACAAGAGGGGCTGCAGGAGACACTGCAAAGGAAGGCACGGGACTAATATTCCTAGTAACAACTGTCCTCATTAGCATCCGTTGTTTTCTGATAGGGTTTTTTTTAATAGTTTGATATCACCAACAGATTTGGAATGTGACATCAACATGATATGAGTATATTACTCATCTCTAATACACCTACACAGCAGCTGAGTTCGTAACTGATGTTAGACATTGCTCCAGACTCTCACTACTGCCATAACTTTGGAAAAATATTCAATGTCTTGCTTTTGCTGTGCAGCAGATTTCCCCATTTCAGAATGGAAAAGTTGTGCCCCTAGTTCTTGAGACAAGTCTTTTTGTTACTATTACTCTTCCTATTATTATTATAAATTTTTGTTATTGTTGCTATTATTATTACATTTTTAACAGACAACAGCATACCAAATAATTAGTTACTCTTTTCCTCTTTTGTAATTGTCCTAAGAGGTATGTTTTCCCTCAAACACTTGTATTTAGTCATATTCAGTATTTTATGGCAAGCAGTAATTAACATAGTAATAGCCTCATTTGTTTGAATCTGTTAATCAAATACATTCAAGAATTGCAAATCTACTTTATTGCAATTCTTGTCTTAAATGTTGCCTGAGACTGTGCTGACATAACTCCATCTTAGCTCTCAGTTAATCAGTTAATGAGTTTCTATTTCAGTTAACCAATTAACTTTATGCAGTTAACTGCTACAGTCTTGCAGTTTTTCTAAAAATTTCTAGTTAACTAGAGAAAATATTATTGTTTAGAATTAGAGCATAAATCTCAATGTTGCGTAGTCCGTCAGCTCCCTGTTATTGACAGATATGCCACGAGTAGCTGCAAAGAGCATGTGAGCCGTAGCATTACTAAGTTAATTATGAGCTCTATTGAAAAGACGGGGACCAAGGGTTTGTGGCTTTGAAGCAGAAGGTTTGAAGGTTTTTTCCCTGTTAACAATGATGTCCTACAGCTGTAAAATTCATGTGGTTATGCCCTTATGTTCACTCAGCAGGATGGTGCAAAAGAAATGTAGGCTGAAGAATGACTTCAGAAAAGCCTCGTTTCAAGTGTTAAAGGGATGGGTGGAACTGGGATCTCTGGAGCCCTCTGTTTGCTGCCAAGGGTGCGTATTGCAAAATTCTCCTCGTGAGATTTTTCTGGTCCTGGCTGTGCATGTGGGCACAGCAGTTGCCTGCACTGCTCCAGCTGAGGCCGGGCTGCTCCAGGGCTCGCAGGGCGGCTGTAGCTCTGGCTGCTCACCAGGGTCACTCCTGCCCC